CCTTCCTTCCTTCCTTCCTTCCTTCCTTCCTTCCTTCCTGTTTTGGGACTTTGCTGCTTTAAAAGAAAGATCATCTTTGCCCATCATAGAACTGATAGTTGAAATCGCTGTTGCAAAGTAGGGAGGCACTCTGCTGGATGGTCTTGACAAAATGAATGAGAGAAGGTGAGGTTTATTCAGGCTCACTAACCAAGAATAGTTGTGTTGAAACTCTGGGTTCAGAGGAAGCATAACCTGGCATAGAAGATACTGAAGAACAATATGAAAAGAGAGTTGTGTTCTTATGGCCCGTCCCAGTCGGGCTGAAGAAGACAAAACTTTTAATTTCCCACAGCATCTCTTATTATTGATAATTAATCATTTAGACATTATTCATGATTTAATGAGATAAATGAGAATTATATAGTTCTGTCTGAACTTAGTAGCCCTGATACTGAAATGGAATTTCTCAGTGCAGGAGCAGTCTACCTTTTAATTCCAGCTCACCACTTTGTGGTCTTTTTGTGGGCATCTTCGTGGTCTAGGATGCTGGATTCAACAGGATGAGTTTTTGTTCTCAGCCATACGGAGCACTGTGCTTTTCCTCTGTCCTGCAGTGCTCAGGGTCTGAAGACAGCCAGGTTTCCTGCTTCAAACGTTTCCTCATTTCACTGTCCACCGTGTACCTCTGTTGATGAACTTCTGCCTGGTCCCAGTAATTGCAGGGAATTTTTTTTTATCTTGCTCATTTATATTAACTTTCCTTCAAGGAGCACAGTTGGGTGAGGAGGTCAAGCTGAAACAGGCTGCTCTAAGTTGCTGAGAAAGGTTGATGGATGGCCAACATGTTTCTCCAAGAAAGAAGTAGAAGAAAACCATTATCATGGTCAACGACCAGTATGTGTCTCCCAAGATTTTTGCCAGCCAAGGAAAGAGAAGATATTTCCCATATTCCCCCTGCAAAATCCAACTAGATCATCAATTAAGTTGATTCCAAGAAGGGGGATAATGGGACTTCTCATATTCTCCCTGTAAAATCCATCTGGATCACTGATGAAGTTGATTGCCATATGGGGAATAATGGGACAGTTATCTTCTCCCAGCATAAATCAGATGTCAGGTTCACACAGTTATTCACCATCTGTTGATATCCAGATGTGAAAAACTGCTGGAATCCAAAATAGCTTGTGGGCCCCAAATGGAGAATAGCTGAACAAATTTAGAAGGCCAAGAGCAGATTCTCCGAAGCAAAATCAACAAATCAATCCATTTTTAAACCATGCAGTACGTGCGCCGAACTTTGGGAACTTCTTAAATGAACTTCTCAGTACTAGGTGATTGATAATTACAGGAGAAGCAGGTTGCCAAAGAAAACCTTTCTACGTTCATAATAGAATTAGGCAAATCCACCAGACCCCATTCTTGGAGCAATGAAATTTGGAATAGCCTTTCAAAGAAAAATGAGGGGTGTGCGTGTGTGTGTGTGTTGGGTAAGTGAGTGTGAATATATGAATTAGAATTTTCTGAGTATCAGATGATGCCTTAGCTTTAAAAATACACAAAACTATAATCCTAAACACATCTATTAGAGAATTAAGCCCCACAACGGCTTAACTAAAATTAATCTGAAAAATTTTCTATGTTTAGTTTTTGCAACCATTGATTTAACCTGCTGTGCAAAAAATAAGTAAACTTGGGTGTTATCTAGCATAAATTTGATATCCTGTTGATACCCTGTCCTTTTTTTAAAGAGTTCTAGAAAGCATATTTGATTTCTCTTTTCCTTCTTTAAAAATGTTTCCTCACCGCAACTTGTCAGATGGGTTAGGCTCAGAGTGACAGACTGCATTAAGATCAGTAATGCTGTTTGCAGCCAAGTGGGACATTTAAGTCCAGAACTTCCAGGATTTTAAAATCTTTCTTTTTAGAATACCCCTAGCTGGTGGAAGGCCATTAGGAATATATGATTGCACTCAAATTAGGGAGGAAAAAAATGATGCGTCTTCCATTCCCCCTAAATTATTTCAAATTCCTAACTTCATGTTCTGAAATAGAATAGCAGTTCATGGAGAACAATTTGGAGATCTTCCTTCCTGGTTTACAGTCCCTAACTTCTGCAAACCTACTAACCAGAGATGAGGAAACTGTGGTCCAAGGTATTTGATACACAGCAGATCAGAAAACACTCATCTGTCCCATTCTTCTTCCTCCAAACATGTTCTGCAGAGCAGAAAGCTGGTCTAGAGACTCTTTGAGGTCCTTTCCAACCCTATAATTCTATGACCTTAAGTTGTCCATTGATAAGTTATGGACACTTAAAAAAAATTCTTAAGGGATGGACAACATCTGGTTGTAGGGCGACAAAACACTTCATAGGTTCAGTACCACTTCAGATGACTGACTTGTTGAGAGGACCCAGCATGGCCTTCCGCTTCACGTTCAGACATTTTCAGTGGTGGGCTGAGAGAGAATGTTTGCAACGACAGGGTCTTTTTCCACTGAAGTTGTGAGAAGTGACAAGTCTCTTGAAAACAACAACACACATTCACTTGTGTGGCTGTGAATCGAGTTGTGGTTGCCCTCATTGCATGTGGTTGCCCAGCTGCTATTTTTAAATTTTGCACTCATTAATTGGTTTCAGTGTGTAACACTTTACATGATTGATTTCTATTTCTATCTGCAACATTTTATATTTTACAGAAGTACCTCTTTCCCCCAAAACTGCCTTAGGTTATAAACAGAAAGCAGAATGCCATATGATTTATTCTAGTGAGGATGACGACACGGCGATAATTGGGTGTTGTCAGCTGACGCGGTCTTCGTTTTGGTAGAGATATCATGGATTAAATTGGAGATGGAGTTTTTATTGCTCTGTGGTGAACTTATTGGAGCTGAATTCAACAATTAGATACATAAAAATTAACTAATCATGATGATGAACTTCTATCCACCTTAGCCTTTCCTTTTCTCTTTAAACAAACAACCTTCAGGTGAAAGCTTAAGCAGATCAGAAAAAAGGTGTGAATTCCTTGTGGTTTATGTATTCCATCCATATTACTGGATTTACTTGATCTGTTGGCCAATTCAGGCCATTCTGTTCATTTCGTCCTGAAGGGTGAAGAGCTTTTGGCCATCAGAGACCTCTTAGCGAACTGCACCTCCCATCTAGGATCATTCTTCAAATACCTCATACCAGTTAGGAATGCCAGCTCAAGAAAAGATTGACACTTGGTCAAAGGTTAATTATTAAATGATGAGAAAATAAACACGAGCAAGTTATAAAAATAATTTGCTTGAGCAGATAGTGGGCCTTGAAAGTGAAGTTTCGTGGACCTGGTGCAGCTGACCTGTGCAGGAAGCTTGCTAAAACTGGGGGAAAATATTTTTAAAAAAAGAATAACTGTAACTAGTTGTATGGACAGGATATAAAACTTTTATTATATGTATTCAGGTTGAAACATTAACTTACTTGTACACAAGGCTGGGAGGAAAGTAGCTGTTGAAACGCTGTTAGTTTCTACCCATTACTACCTTTGTCCAACCCAAACAACCAACGTCAGAGAAGATGAGAATCGATCACATATGGAATAATTTGTTCTGGTGAAATTTTATTGCTGCAGAAAGTTACATGACGAAACTTTCTCTGATCACAATCAGAGAGATGGCTATCCAAGCCACATTTCAGGATCTTAATACATGGTAGGCATGTATTTCCTTTCTCTGGCACAGATAAACATGCATCATGTTGCAAGGAATTTTGAAATCAAGGTGTGTGACACATTTTCAGCCCTGGAAATTACATTAAAAAAAAAAATTGTCCCTGGATAGTATTATTCCTATCCTCAATACTTCTGGCCTTTGGAAGTCGCTTTCAAAGAAACAGTGTGGTGCAAGGTTGATTTAACTTCTAGAAAGAAGGAGGGCAGGATTAAAATATGCCTTTCAGGGGTGTCATTAAGTAATTTTAGGCTCTGGGTTTAATGGGCTTAACTGCCCACAAAGTTTCTAGATCTCTTTGTGTTTGCCATTGTACCAATTCGCTTCCTGGACTTCTTTTCAAATTCCTTTGTTCCAGCTGAAATGGCGAGAGAGCGGTGTATATCTCAGCTGGTAAAAGCTACACTGATAATCATCTCCTGATCTGTTTAAAAAAAAGAAAAAGAAATCTGCAGACCTCGAGTGGCATTTGAAATGTTTAAAAGGATAGTCTTTCCTGGCTGGGTATAATGTGATTCTGACCCACTGCAAATTTATAAAAAAAAAAAAAATGTTGTCTTTCCAGAGGTGTCTACACAGGGAAGGAGTAAAAAATGTCAAGATGTTGGCCACTCTAAATCCCCACCCCTGTTTTTACAAGTGTAAAACAGTCACAGAGAGCCAGTCTGGGGTAGCAGTGAAGGCACCAGGCGAGAAACCAAGAGACCCTGAGTTCTAGTCCTGCCTTGGACACAAAACCAGCTGGGTGGCCTTGGGCCAGTCCCTCTCTCTCAGCCCTAGGAAGGAGGCAATGGCAA